GAATGACATGGGGATTTTAATAGGAATTGTGTAGAGCTTTTGGTAGTATGGTCATTTTGACTATTAATTCTGCCTATCCAAGAGCATGGGAGATCTTTCCCTCTTCAGTCTTCAGTTTCTCTCATTAGAGTTCTGTAGTTTTCACTGTAGAGGACTTTCACCTCTTTTTTTTATATTGCTTCCCATCACTGATGTGTGGAAACACGGTTAAAAATACCATGTTCACATTGATGTCCCTGAGAGGGCCCTGTAGAAGTGCCTGGGGGTGCACAGGACACCGGTGCTTTGTACCAAAGCCCAGAGTGGGTGTGTGGCTTGGACCTGTGTGACTGCGTGACCAGTGCCTGTGTTGGCGTCGTGGCTTTGATTGAGACTGTCACATTATTGTCCCCTCTGCCTGGCTGTTCTGAGGTGGCTGTGTAGTCYCTGGTGCTCTGCAGGGCGTCCCTTGGCTCCCAGCTGCCCCACATGCTGTGGTGGTGGTCTCCAGGCCGGGGGCTGCTTGCCCTCACGTGGACTGCTGTGTGTGGTCTGCGTGCTGTTCGGGAGCAGCGTCAGCGGTCCCTCCTGCTCGCCTCTGTGCTTCAGGTATACAGTTTGAAGTGAGACGCGTGGAGCTCCAGGGCTCTGCCACCCTCTTCTGCTGCTGGCTGGTGAAGAACGTCTTGCAGAGCCACCGCAACTCGGCCACCAGGACCCGCCTGCTCCTCGCCAGCCTGCCCAGCTCCAGCCACTCCATGAGCGAGCTCCCTGGGCCCAGCCTCGGGGAGGTTGGTGTCTGCAGCTGGCCTGGGCCTCCTGTTGGCCTGSACTGGCTGGCCTTCCAGTGGGCCTTGCTGTTTGGCTTTGTTTCCCGGGGGTGGGAGTGGGGTCTCGTGGTCTTCTGTCTTCTCATACCCTGTGTGCAGAGCAGATGCAGGCCTTGAGTCTGCACAGGCTTTGTGTCCAGGGTTCGGGGTGCCAGTTTGGATCAGGGTGTCCAGGCTGCCTAGAAAAGCTCCCTGTGGGCACGGGAGGAGGGCTGTGTTGCTGGGGATGGTGGGCCTAGCGGGGGGCCACCTGGCTTTGTGGTGGCAGGTCTTCCTCAGACCTTCCTTTGCCTTTGCAGATGCTCAGAGCCAAGCCCTGGTTTGAGGAGAGCCCCACACCCGTGGAGCTGGCCGAGCTGGCCGCCTGTGAGGGGGAGTACTCCCACAAGTACAGCACCCTCAGCCCGATTGGAAGCGGGGCCTTTGGGTTTGTCTGGACCGCAGTGGATAAGGCGCAAAACAAGGAGGTGCTCTGGCTCTCCCTCTGGGGTTCAGTGGGAGAGAGGGGTCTTAAGGAGAGCACTCCCTGCCGGCCACACATTGCTGCTGGGGTGGCAGTCCTGCTGCACGTGGCCCAGGAGGCTGCAGCCAGGCTCCTGGGTGTTGGCCTGCTGAGGCCCCCAGCTCTCTTGGCATGGGGGATACTCTCCCGCCCACATGCCTACTTTTAAACCAAACTTGTACCTCCTCCTCTCACCTGGAAAGAAATCCCCCCAACATTCTTGAGCAGGYCAGAAGGTATACTTGAAACTAAGTACAGAGCACAGTCCCTGGCACAGCCATCCTGATCAAGGGGCACGACTTGTCCGCCACACAAAAGCCCGTGTCCTGGCCACAGACCCTGGGGCTTAGCCCTGCCTGCCTGGATGCTGTGTGGACTGAGCGCAGCACCTGTGCTCTTGGGGTGCTGAGCTGTGTGGCCTGAGCGCAGCACCTGTGCTCTTGGGGTGCTGAGCTGTGTGGCCTGAGCGCAGCACCTGTGCTCTTGGGGTGCTGAGCTGTGTGGACTGAGCGCAGCACCTGTGCTCTTGGGGTGCTGAGCTGTGTGG